CTGGTCTCACCCTTTCTCATTATCAGCTTGTTTTATCAAAGTCATGAGAACAGGCTTATTTATGCATAAATTACATAGGCTAATTTTGAAAGATAAGATTTTCTAATAAGAAAGGGTGGAAGCAAGTTACTGAAGTTTGAATGTTTACCAAAATTGTGTATAAGTTTGGGGTTTGGATAAGCTCGAGAAAATGCTGAAGCACTTTACAGAATGAATCAAGGGCACTTAGAATGACGCTTAGAATCTCTACCTACCATTTTGAATTGAAATTGTAAGATTTGGCTCAGAAGAATTTTTTTTAAGATTAATGCATATGTTACTGCACTATTTCTTATGAGTACATTCCTAAGAAAAACTGCTAGGACATTTGCCAGTCACCTGGACTCGGGTTTTATGACTTGGCAGAATGTCCTCTAACAGTACCTTAAGGCTTTCAGAACTGAGCTGAGTAACCTTATTGTGGTTAGGGGTGCTGAGGACACCTGGGGTGCAGAGGCTTTGCTGGCACCTAAGGGAGGATGGACCTGGGGCTGTTGGGAGGAAATGCTTCTAGCTGTTCACCCTAGCATGGGGAGGGGGATGTTAGTGCCCTAACTGTCTCTGCATCTATGATTCTGTTTGCTCTATCCCTAGCCATGAGATAATTGACCCTCTCACCAAAGCCTGCATCTCTCATCATCCTCTGTGGCCACTTCTGAACATGTGCTAACATGCCAGGCGCAAGCACTTCCCACTGATAATGCAGAACCTTCCCTCCCTCCCCTCTCTGCAACCTCAAAGGACTTCACCATTTTCAGTAGGTTAGTCAACAGATACTTAGGAAGTATCCCCTATGTGCCAGACGAACAACTTAAGAGAGATGTATGAGCATAAAACATCTGATGGAAGCTGGGAGATAAGGAAGGGGAGGTGCGAGGAGAGACAAAAGAAATCAGGGTCTCCAGAGGGAGTCTACAAAAATCTTCAGCAGGAAAATCAGAGTTGAGAAATCTCTAACCCACCCCTCCCTCTCACCTGCCGCACCCTCACCAACACCTGAGTGAGTGCACAGGCATCCAAGCAAGTGTGAAAGAAGCAAACAAAGATGATAAAGGAACATTGTGAAGGAGCTCTCTGGAGGCCAAGCAGGACAGAATCATTTCTCACAGAGAGCAGACGCCCCCATTATCTAGTTAGCACATGGACAACCAAGAAAATCTGGGAGCAATTAGGAGGGAGGGAAAAACATATGAGGGGGGCGGTGCTGAGATGTTGGGAAGCATGGAGTTCCCAAACTACCTTCTGTTAGGAACACAAAGGTGATGTAAGTCACCTTTGTAGAGGAGAAGGAAGCCGTCGATCCAGTGGCACATGCATGCACACTTCACACAGTGTCACAGCAGCAACTAAGTTGTGCCCTTTACAAGGCGACCAGAGCAAGTTTTTAAATGTAGATGGTAGGAAACCACACTTAAATTCTAATCATCTTCTGAGGTCCATTAGGACACTTTAAAGCAAAGCAAATATTTAAAGCTCTTTGGTCAGCACCAAGCAAGGATGGGCTTACCACCCTTTTGAAGGCTGACAGCCCACAACTTCCTTCAACATCCAGGCTCTCCTACTGAAAACTGGGGGGTGACATCCTGTACTCCTGCTATGGGCCAGGCAGTGTGATATGCTGCTGCATTTATTATTTCATAAACCCTACACCCTTCAAAAAGATTAGTCTTGTATAAGAGATGAAAAGACAATCTCATTCTAGGAAATATCTTGCCCAAGGTCACACAGCTAATCAGTGGTTAAGACAGAATTCAAATGCAGTTACCAGATCTTTGTGAAATAGTCACACCAGTCCTTCCAAACCGAGTGGGGTTTCTTCCTGCACACAATCTGACTTGTGCCTTTGCATAGGCTATTTTGTCTGCCATAAATACATTCTCACTATTTCTATCAAGTCCTTCACGTCCCCCAGACCCTGTCTGTCTTTTATTCCAATGTGAAGCCTTTGTTGAGCTCCCAAGCCAGATGGACTCTGGGGTTGCTACCTCTTCTAAATGTACCCCGTGCTCCTGCCCCCTTGTGAAAAGTCCATGCCTGTTTTAAGAACTTCATGTGTCTGGGCCTCCCTGGTGGCACAAGGGATTAAGACGCAACCTATGAAGCTGTCCGCAACCTCTGCAGCACGGGTTCAATCCCCGGCCAGGGAGGGCACACATGCACAGTAGATCTCTACTGCCTCTCCCACTGCTCCCCTCAGCAGTGTATTTCAGTCAATCTGCATGTTCTGTTCCCCACTCTGCCTCTGGTGAATCCTCTCACCCCCCCCCACCTCTGGCCTGTATCCCAGCTCTTGTATGCATAAATAAATCTTTAAAAAAAAAAAAAAAGAACTTCATGTGCCTAAAGGAGATCCCCAACCCTTACAGATCAAGCATGTTAACATGCATTCTTATGCTTCCTTATATGCAATGCTTTCCTGTCAAATGTTTGAAAGGACTTTTAGAATTTGGGTTCAGAATTCTCGTTTTACTTAGCAATTATGATCTCTCATCAACACTGTGTATACATGAGAATTCTTGCGCTATCAGAAAGTTTGTAAGTTTTTCAAAAATGATGAAACCTGCTTATCATGGTTGTCTTATTAAGGCTGGTATGCATCTTGTAGTTTTTTTTTTTTTTTAAGAGCTTTTAAAATTTTATTTTGTTGATATTTTGAATTCTTTTTAAATGCTTCTCGTTTTAAAATATAATTTATTTTATATAATTCTTACATCATTTTCATTTTTGCACAATGTATGCATTTTCATTTTGGTTATAGTCCCCACACAATTCCCACCACCCTTGTTTTGATCCTAATCCCTCCTTTCCTCCCCCCACCCCCCATAATGTGTCTCTGGTTTCTGGTGCTTGTTGATTTTGAGCATCTTGTAGTTTTAAATATTAATTTCATTTTGCAGAGGTTTCCCCCTATTTTTAGAATGCATGAATTTTTTTTTCACGTCTCAAAAGATTTTGTAGCTCCTTGAAAATCTAGTAGGCGCTAAGCCCTGTGCCTTAGAATCTGAAGGCCCCAATAGCCCCATGGCTACCTTGGCCAAGTGCTGACTCATGCAGTGGCTATACAGAGATCGGCTTTCACCCCAGGCCTTACTACCACATACTCACAATTTTAAGCCTACCGAAGAGGGATTTTTATCTTGTTGACTGATTTTTTTTTTTTTTTTAAGGTAACTAGTTCAGCAATCATACAAGGAATGCTAATTGATTTGCTTCTTAAATAATAAAGCATAATGAACACAAAACCCACAACTTCAACAATATACTCTATAACCCTATTTCCTAATATCTATAGTTATTTGAAATTATACTCATAGCATTTCTGAAATGTTTGAATTCCTTAAAAAGTTGGTTTGGGGCCTCCCCGGTGGCGCAGCGGTTGAGCGCTGGGTTGCGAAGCTGCCGCAGCCTCTGCAGCTCCGGTTGGATCCCCGGCTGCTCCCCGGCCACCGGAGGAGGATCCCACATGGTGCGCAGACCTCTCCTGCCACCCGCTGCTCCCCTCAGCAGTGTACTTCGGTCCTTCTGCCTGCTCTGCTCCCCGCTCTGGCTCTGGTGAATTCTCTCACCCTCCCGCACTTCTGACTATCCAGGGCTTGTATAAAATAAATTAAATAAATAAATCTTTAAAAAAAAAAAAAGTTGGTTTGTCTTCATTACTTTAAAAGATGTTATAGACAGGGCCTCCCCGGTGGCGCAGCGGTTGAGTGCTGGGTTGCGAAGCTGCCCGCAGCCTCTGCGGCGCCGGTTCGATCCCCGGCTGCTCCCCGGCCACCAGAGGAGGGTCCCACATGGCGCGCAGACCTCTCCTGCCACCCGCTGCTCCCCTCAGCAGTGTACTTCGGTCCTTCTGCCTGCTCTGCTCCCCGCTCTGGCTCTGGTGAATTCTCTCACCCTCCCACGCTTCTGACTGTACTCAGTGCATGTATAAACAAAATAAACAAACAAATAAAATAAATAAATAAATAAAACATGCCTCTATAAAATTAAAAAAAAAAGATGTTATAGACAGACTATAAACAAAATACATAGTAGGTATGTCTAGAAATATTTAACTTCTAGATTTTTGCTTCATTAGCAGTTAGCTACATATTTCCTCCTATGGTAGGAGGACTTAGGAGAGTTGAACTCATAATTTTCAGGCATTCTATGTCTATACAGCAATGCCTCCTCATTATACTGTGAATCATTTTGGGGCCCATTTCCTTTGGTAAATTTTAGCCAAATGTACTCTAATAACATTTTAGCATATGTTACTGAACAAAAAGTACTCATATGCCCAAGCATTAGGTACGAAGGAGAGGCAACTGATGTTTCATGGAATGTTTCATGGAGAAGGTGCTACAAATTTATTTCTGTGAATAAGCCAGTGGCTCACAAGGAATTGGGTTTTTGGAAAAGTCATGACATATGCCAAAATGTGTTATGACTTTTTCAACAACCCAATACTTCCTCAACACCAGCAGAAAATAACAACTCACCAAAAACATAAACAAAAACAAAACCATTATAATTAAAGTAGACTGTAATAAGATTTATAGAATAATCTGGAACATGCATTTTTTAGCCTGTAAACCCTCACTGCAGACACATATCTTTTTATATAGTAATTGGGCCCAATATCAAAAGTTTTAACTTTTAAATACTCTTTGGCAATACTACTAAGTATGAACTTATCTACCTTAAGATAATAATGCTAATATTTCTATTTTCTGCATGTGGGTAGTTTTGCCCACATCCAGACCCAATAGAGAATCCAGTTTTATCTCCCCAGTGATCCAGAAAGTCCAATTTCATGTTTCTAAGAAGAGGGTGCAACTGAGATCTTACAATGACTATATTCTCAGAGAATAAGTAATGAAAATAAATAAAACTGAGCAACCATGCAAACAAGGAAAAGTGACAAAGGAAAAAGTTAACACAGGGAAACAGGCCATGAGAATATTTGGCTGGAGTTGCCCCACCTCTTTCCATTGCTCTCCCGAAGCATCGCCTTCCCCATCACTCTGGACTTAGTTTCAAGCTCTTGCACCTCCTCCAGCAATGTTTTTTTACAGGTATGCTTGGCCCTGTTTCACAAAAAGACAAACAGAACATGACATAGAAACTTAACATAGTTGTAATAAAGATTATGGCTCCCCCCTTGGGCCACCAGGAGACCCTCTGACAGAGGAGGAGGAGGCCTGGGACATCACAGGACATTCAGTTCTCCTGCATGCAAGAGTTCCACCTTCTTAAGCTGGGGAGCTTCCCAAGCACAGTAGAACATGCTGGAATCATGAACATCAGAAGTCACCACCTCTATAGAAAACACTGCTTGTTGCTGAAAGCCTGTAGATCTGGCAGGAGACCCCAGTCACTCAGACCAAAAATGGGGGCTCATGGAGATTCATGGGTTGGTCTCAATAGCTTTTCACTGCAGCACACGGAAACCCCAACATGCTTTAATTCCTCCCCCCTAGTGTAATCAGGAAGCCCAGGATGAGTAGTTTCCTCGCTTTTTAGTGTGAAAAAAGCCATTGCCCAACAGGAGTGGGGTTTAATATGCTACAATTCACTCTCCTCATGCCAAAACCCTGACCTGAAATTTGGTGTCAACACAAATAATCAAGCATAACTTTTCCATTCTTCCCTCGCAGAAACTGGCATTAAGGCCCTCTTTCAGCCCTCAATGGCATACAACTGACAAAATAACAAGCAAGCAGTTCTCTCCACTACAAGTTAAACCTCAGCCTACACACTTTATTCTCCTTAAATTATAGGAGTGCCTCCCTGGTGGCGCAGCGGTTGAGCGCTGGGTTGCAAAGCTGCCCACAGCCTCTGCAGCACTGGTTCAATTCCCGGCTGCTCCCTGGCCACTGGAGGAGGGTCCCACATGGCGCGCAGACCTCTCCTGCCGCCCGCTGCTCCCCTCAGCAGTGTACTTCGGTCCTTCTGCCTGCTCTGCTCCCCGCTCTGGCTCTGGTGAATTCTCTCACCCTCCCAAGCTTCTGACTGTACCCAGTGCTTGCATAAATAAAGCAATCTTTAAATAAATAAATAAATAAATAAATTATAGAAGGAACCATCTATACTCTTCTGTGATAAACTAAGAGGAATACCTTACAGTGTTCAAATAATTGGCTGATTTCAAGACCTTTCTAAAGTTGAGATTTCAGAGTTTGAAAACAATGCCCATGAAGAAAAGTCATTTAATAAGATACAGGTTAGAAAAAAGAAAAGAAAAACTAAAAAGAGAAAGGCTCATAACCAATAATACAGGGCTGGTTTACTTATGATGAAAAGCTTTACATTCATTTCATTTCAATATAAATACATGTGAGGATCCCACTAACGACCAGGTCTCAAGGCAGACTAAGAACAAAAACTGAGGATATCTGTATGGAAGTGAAAATAAGTGTAATGGGAGCATCCTGAAGTTTGAGATGTTTTAGTGGAATCACGGATTCCTGCTGACCCTCCACCTTGAAGGAAAGAGTCTGTTAAGATAATGCCCAGTCATCTCCCGACACTCCAAGTTAATCTGTAATGGAGTATCAGGACTACGACACTGTATATGTGCCTGTCATTTCTTTTCCCCAAAGTAAACAAGGGAACTGAACCACACAGGTTTTAACACATAATACCTTAATTACATCAAACAGAGTCCTGAGGCTCAGTAGTGATAAAATACTCAGTTCAAAGCAAAGACTGTGGAATTTTAATTTAAACAATAAATGAGAAAAATTTTAACATTTTGCTGGAAAGGAGAGAGTAGAAAAGAATGTTAAAATGACACCAGTCAATATTATTGGATATGTTTGGCCCCAAACTCTGCATTTTATCTCATGTGTTTATGGGGCCATTTTGATAACAAGTCATCTGAGAGACAAGCCCCAAGTCAGTCAGATCCACCCCAGATACACAGGACCCATGAGGACATGTCTGGCTACCCCTGGAGAATGTGCATGTTTTCCTGCTGTTCCAGGACTGTCCTTCTCCTTCCTGCTATCCTTCCTGTCTCCTTATGCCCCCACTCTTCAATGAGCAATCTCCAAAACAGCCCCCAGCGTTTTCTCTGGGCTAGCCAAGAAGGGCCACACAAAGAAGCAGGTTTGCACTAGGAAGTCTAGTCACTGGGTCACTGGAAATCTACAGTTTAAGTCCAGTAAAAAAGAATTTGACCCCTTACACTGAAGCTGCCAGTTTTTACTCATTCACAATATTGCCTTGGAGGAAATGATCACAGTGTCTGATGCTACCGGGCACTGTTCCTGTGGAAGAAACTGCAAGAGTTACTTAGCAATTTTATGGTGTAACCTCTATGAGAACTGTGAATTGCAACACTGAGGATTAGCCTTTTACTCTTTCAGCACATAGCACTTGAGTAGGAGCAGTGAGGTAAGCAACATAAAATTGTTTTTTCAAAATCTACCTAGGGAAGTCTTAATTAGATAAACAATTCCAAAATCTCCCCTGTCAATTTAACTAAAAGCTAATAAGGGTTTAAGAACCAGCCTTTAAGCGTTAGCCACTGGCATGCAATTGAGGTCTCATGTTTTGAGTCACAGCTCGGACAGTGAGCCCATTATTTGGGGATGGTTTATCCCCAATAGTCCTAGCTTGTTTCACCTACCCCCACATTCCACGTGGAGAAACCAGGAGATCACAGAAGAGGCAGGGTGGGGGCTCAACCACAAACAGAGTGAGAGCCCATAGAGAGCTGTTACATACGCCCAGGGGACCTCCAGGTTATTAGAGACTTAAAATGAAGAGATGGGCTTAAAATCTTGAACTTTCCTTCTTTTTGTATTCTGAAACTTTTCCCCTGGATTTTTTTTTTTTTTTTGCATGGAAGTGTTGCAACTTAGACAAATGTTAAATTCTTAATGTGAATGAAAATGGTAATACGATGTGCTTCAAAAGAAATTAGTTTAGTTAGAAAGTTTTATTTTTTTCAGAAATCAAGACCCATTTGTATACAGAAATTTCTTATTACCTTTTCTTTCCATTTAACTGCCTATCTGGGATTACAATAAGGAAATGAAGTCATTCTGGAATTGCTGAAAGTATTGTGTGATGACTGGGAAAGCATGGGAGATACAGGCGGATAAAAGGAGATTGGGTCCTGTGTTCAGTGACCTTGGGCTTTATATTATTTTTACAAAGCACTACTAATGAATTTCTCCTAGATGAGAATAAGTACATGGCAGCTTACCTAAGAATGCTGTCATAGGTAAACATTTTGGAAGATTGTGAGCTAAAAGATATTAAAATAGTTCTGGGCAATTTAAACTTCATGCTTCTAATAAAAACACTCATTAGCCAGGTATCACATATAATCAATCAATTATTTTAATAAAAGATGTGTTAGTTTGGTCCCTCATGAAAATTCTGGTTAACAGGATGGATAACAGAGTAGGTGTTTTATGGCATCCAAATCTGACTTAAGATAGTCTAATAATGGATCTTCATCCAGAAACTTGAGTTTCATGGAAAAAGTGACCGAATTGCCTCATGTTGTTTTTGTTCTTACTCTTTAATAGTCCATGTCCTGAAATGGAAGAAAGACTCAGGGAAGAAAAGGGGAAAATGCAGAAAGACAAGCAACTCATTTTCTCAATTGCTTTTAGAAATATATGTGAAAAGGAAGGCCTGCATTGTGCTAGAACTTAAAAGCTCCTTCAAAACAGAGCTAACTACCAAAATTCAACTCAAAAAATCCTTATTGTCCCAAGATGAGATTAAAAACTCAACAGTACCATGGAAGATTCCTAACATTGCAATATTGCCATCACAGAGCAAATTCTTCAGTTGCTCCTTAATTTCAACTCAATTTAAAATTCTTCTTAGAAGTCCAGGGTGTATCACAGCACATCATGTTTCAATCAACACTTGGCAATTGGAACCGAGTGATGGGTGGTTGCGGACAATCAAGATCAATATTCTTGTGCAGTGTGCAGGAAGACAAAACAGAACACATTTTACAAAGCTGAAGTTCAGGAAGAGAAAACATGGTTCAGCATTGTGGCCTATCAGAGAGAAGCAACTCATACATGTTTTTTCTTTTTGGCAAAAGCCTCCAAATTTATTTGACTCAGCAACACATATATCAGGCTGGCAGTGTAATGTGATAAAACATGGGTCCTGTGATCAGAAGGAAAATGGCCAAATAGATTTACAAAATTCTTGTTTTTAAGGATAAAGGTGACTCTAGCATAGATATTATGAGTATATTACAATTTGAACTTAGAGTTTGGGTAGATATTGTAAGTAAGAGTGAATATACACCATTCTCTCTGCTCCTGTTAGGGTGAACAGGATGTCCTAAAGCTAATTCCATACAGGCTTTGTGGACTCCACCCCTACCCCAGGCCAAAGCCAAAGACACTGGGAACTCCAAATCCCATCACCACCAAAGGGAAGGTGGCTGGGACCTGAGGGTGGGGTTAAGCAGCCAGGTTGGTATAAAGCCAGACACGTGGGCTTTGGAGGGGTTCCCCCATTTTGACTCTCTGCCAGCTCGCAGCGTCCGGCCAGCTCGGAGAGTGCTTTTTGGATTTCCAGGTCGGTGGATCGGGTAGGACGCATTAAAGACTTTATTTCCCTATTTTCTCCCTGAGTTGTACATTTTCCTTATTTCCTTTTCCCTTGTAAATAAACCTTTTATTAACCTTTTGTGTGTGCCTGCAGTGGAGTATTAATAAGTCCCTTGTAAGCGCGTGGGTGAGGACCCACAGCCAGGCAACCCGTTCCATATCGGGGCTGCCCTATAACACTCCCTCAAATAATGCAGGAGGAACATGCATTTCACGAAGCGCCTGGGAATTCAGAAGTGACCTTTCATGTTCAGCCCAAGTCAGGGGCTGACTACTTCTGGGAGAGGCTATCTTGTGGGCTGTGGTGCCGGGTGGTGGGAAGGACACCACCATGGCCCAATCTCTGCTCAGTCCCATCAGCACCTTCTTCACAGGGCCCTCTGCTCCTACCAGGCTGGCAAGCTTCTTGGAAAGGAAGTAACATTCACTCTTTCCATCTCGTACAGTTGGAAGCAGTGCCATTTGACTTATCCTTGTTAAAATGTAAATGGCGCTAATTTACAGTGCTGTAGAAATCAAAAACAAAACCTGGTTGAGGGAATAGATAAGTTGATTAATGTTGACCTGGAACTTTTCCTTGGAACATATTGGAAAATATCCAGAAAATAGACAAGGAAGCAAAGATGTCATCTGCAAACATGTGCTTTGAAATGGTAGAAAGATACAGCTACTAAAGTCTCACTTGGCAAATAGTGTTTGTGAAACTTTTTCCATCACATTAATTAAAGATAGTTGAATTAAAATAGGCTATAATTAATTGATAATCAAATTACCATTCTTAACCCAAGACTATATCAAACTAACCTAATTATTCTAACTAACCTAAAACTAATTTGGTTATCTTAAAAAAAATTGAAGAAGTTCAGCAAGTAATAGATGGTACCATAATTGGGCTATGTGCTGTAAGAAACTAATGTTTTCTTTTGATATATTTATTAGGTTAAGAAAAACTTCTTTCCTGGCTATAATCATTTTATTTCTAAGGATTCTGATTTTGCTATTTACAGAACACAGTTTTAGCAGATAAAAATGGAAGTGGTGGTAAGTCAAAGGATTTAAGATGTTGGAAGTATTTAATTTATACTAACAATTGGAAAATTTAGTGAACAGAAGGAAAAAAACAACAAAATATGTGCTATAAAATTTCTTTCTCTCCCTTTCCCTGCGTTAGGTATCATTGGTTGTCAAGATAATGCCAAAATGAAGACTTTTCAAATGACATCTTAACTGTCAGGCAAGAAAAATTCTCACTGAATGTGGGAGGAAGGGAGAGAGAAAAATGAAATCTGATGTCTTTTCCTGGAAGGTTTGGATTAAAGTGTGAATTCTCTACCTCAGGGCCTCAAAATAATTATGCTTTGCCCAAAGTAAAGCCAATCTAGGAATCTCAATTTTTAGGGAAATTGGCAAATATTTGCAGGTGGAATCAACCCTGCTCAACACAAAATTAATATCATTCCTTTGGAGTATCCCATCCTTTCCTTATGTGTGAAATTAACATTTCTATTATCTTGGAACTTAGTTGCTTCTTTTACATTGTACACAAGTTATTTGTGAAATAATGTATTTGAAACACACCTAAAATTAATCATTAATTATTTCACTTTAACCTACATTAATTTTACCTTTTTTGATTATTTTTTCTCATATATTTTTAAAGTAACAGTCTTGAAGAGCACATTTGAAAGATTCCTACCATGAATTATTTGGAAAAATGAGGAACACATCATTCTTATCATCTGAAATGAATTAAGCATGGGATTTAATGTTAAGCTGTATTTATATCACTTAGCATTGATCTTTAGAGATATAGAGAATGAAGTTTGAGTCAACTTACTAAACCTGGAACAGCTTTGTACTTAAAATCTCTTCTTTATGATGAGTCATATACAAGCAATATCCCTACTGACCTTCACGGAATCTCTCTTGGGATGAAGCACAGGTTAAAGAAAAAAACTAACCCAATATCCTTTACATTCTTTGTTTGTAGATGTCAGGATATCTGCTTTTTGAGACATTCCAAAGTACTTAATAACATGGAGCACAGCTCACATGACAATAGTGGGACAGATGGGCAAGACTTAAGAGTGCCTCTTTCCCTCTTCACTTACGCTCTCCAGGCCACATCTTCTATCAAACATGCAGTAGGAACCAGAAATAATCCCAGCCAGAAGTGTGCGGAGCTCAGGACCATAGTTGCCTGCAAGAAACAGAAATGACATGTGTATAAATGCTTTACCCCAAAAAACATCTTTTAATGAAAAGCAACAGAAAGCATTGCATTCAAGTTTAAATATTACACCCAAGAAGAATGTCATGAGATGCTGAAGAGATGATCTCTTTCCAGAGTCTCCATCAGCTCTTATTTCCTGCTTTTATAGGTGCTTCCACCCCCTTTTCCATTATAATGTTGTCCTACATTCCTACTATAGAGAAGGGCTGGAGTTGCCAGACTCTTACAGGACAAACTTCACTCCACTGGGATTCTTTATTTCACTTATCCATCAGTTCACGTTCCTTTGCTGCTAATTGTTCCTTGGAATTAGTGTCTTGCACAAGTCTATGACTCTCAACATCCAGAAGAAGATGATGAAGAAGAAGAGATAAAGTCCTGCCTTCAAGGACCTTAAAAATGTAAATACAATTTACATTACACATGGAGTATGATCTATATCACAATCATATTCCACTAATGGGATTCAACAAAAGGCAGGTGACTGGAAAGATATCTGTGAAGAGGATAGAGTGTGGAGCCTGCCTGGAACAGACTTCAACAGATCTCAAGGGAGTGAGGAAAGGGCCATTCCAGGTGGACAGATGAATGATGAGCAAGAGCAGGGAGAGGTGCAGTCCCTGATAAGAATTCCTTGTTCCTGAGATGCTCAGATAGTGATCGTTGTGGGGAAACAATTAAAGGGTTCTAAAGAACAGAGGTGCAGGACCAAGTTAGACTTCAATGAGTGAACCTCTGAAAACAGAACTTAGGGCAAAAAGGAAAGAGAGGGAAGAATTTGCTCTGAACACAAATGGGGGCTGGGAATACAAAGTGTTTACAGTGTAGTGTCTAGAGAGCAATGCCAGGAGCATGGAGCTAGCTGCCTGGCAACTGGCAATTGTCCTAGGACGAGTTATTCAGAAAAGGGACCAAAATTAAAGTATGACAGAATCCTTCATGTTTCTTCAGTTTTTTTTTTTTTTTTTTTTTTCTGGAGATCTCATCATTTGCTCCTACTGGAATAGATATGTTTTGCTAAAAGTCATTACAAAGTGGAGTCAGGTTTACAGAAGGAGTGAGAGCAGAGGGGTTAAGGCTCAAACTACCTTAGAGACCCTGCAGGGACTTGGAACCAAGGGTGCCCCAGAGCAATCTTCTTACTGGTATACAGTAAGCGTGGCCCAAGTCTAGCCTGGCATTCAAGTTCCAGCTCACTCTCTGATTTCCATTTTCTGCTCCAGTGGACCAACCACACAGGAAAACCTTTGTTACTCCACCTAACTCAATTCAAGCTGGGCTGCCTCTCAGTTTCTGTCCTCATAGCTTCTCCAACAGCACACCCCAATTAGGGGGAAGCCATAGCTTGCTGATCTGGCTAAGTCCATGCCTAACCTCATCTGTTTTGTCTCTGAACCCTATCACATACCCTGTGTGGCACTTGAAATTTTATGACAGTAAAACTGAGAAGTGAGATTTGGTGTCTCATTTGAACCCCAACCCTGGCATTGAAGGACTTGCTTTCCTTTTCTAAAAAGGGAGCACTAGTTTTCTGAAAAGCAAATTAATTGTTGCCTTTCTTTTAAAAAATGTTTAAACTTTAATTTTGGAGTTATAGTTTTGCTCCTTCACATGTGAACATGTTCCACTAACTCTCCACCAAATCACCTGTGCCAGTACCCCATCTGCTCCCTTCTTGATCCTCTCCTCCCTAGCTCCTGCTCCCTCAAGCAACTATTAAGTTCTTTCACTAAGCCCAAGATTTATTCCTGCTGTTATGTTTTTGGTTATTTATATTACACAGATGAGTGAAACCATTCAATATCTTTCACTTTCTGACTTATTTCACTTAACATAATCACCTCAAGGTTCATCCATTTTGTCCCAAAAGCCGTTATTTCATCTTTTTAACAGCTGTGTAGTTATCCATTGAGTATATACCCCACAGTTCCCTATGCATTTGTTTGTTGGAGGGCACTTATGTTGTTTCCATGACTTGGCAATTGTAGACAGTGCTGCTATGAACTTAGGTGGAGATAATCTTTTCATATTAGAGTTTTCATAATTTTAGTTTAAATAACTAATATAGGTATTACTGGATCATATGAAATTTCCATTGTTATATACTTAAGAGAAGTCCGTACTATTTTCCATAGTGGTTGCACCTACTTGGATTTCCACCAATTGTGGATGAAGAGATCCTTTTTCTCCATGTCCTTACCAACATTTGTTGTTTCCATTCTTTTTGATATGGGCCATTCTCACAGGGGTGAGGTGATATCTCATTGTGGTTTTGGTTTGCATTTCTTTTATAATAAGTGATATTGAACGATTGGTACTTTGTAAATTTTGGAAATTAGTGCCTTGTAGGTGTGTGATGGGAAAATATTTTTTTCCCATTCTGGAGGTTGCTTTTTTGTTTTTGTGATGGTTTATTTGAGGAACAAAAACTTGATGTAGTCCTACTTGTTTATTTTTGCTTTAGTTTCTTTGCTATTGGAGTTGAGGCTCCAAATATTTTCTTGTGGGAGATATCCTCTAGCATGTCATCTATACTTTCTTCAAAATATCTTATAGTTTTGTTTCTTATATCCAGACCTATAATCCATTTTGAGTTATTTTTTGTGTATGGAGTTAAGTATGGATCTAGTCTTATTTTTTTGCATCTGGCCTTCCAGGTATCCCAAAGCCATTTGTTAAAGAGAATTTCTTTTCTCCATTGTGTAGCTGTGGCTCCCTGCCCATGTTTGTGTGTGTTTATCACTGGGCTTTCTATTCTGTTCTATTGTCTGGGTTTCTGTTTTTGTTCAAACCATACTGTTTTGATTACTGTTACTATGTAGGATAGTTTGAAGTCAGAAAATATAATACCTCCATTTTTTTCCTCTTTCTTCTTAGCTTTAATTACTCAGGGCCTTTTGTGGTTCCCTATAAATTTTATAATTGTTTGTTCAGTTTCTTTGAAAAAGGTCATTGTGGGTCCTCCCCTGGTGGCGCAGGCGGTTGACTGCAGCGCTGTGAGGCTGTCTGCAGCCTCTGCAGCGCGGGTTCGATCCCGGCCTGCTGCAAGAGTCCCACATGGCACAGCAGACCTCTCCTGTCACACCCGCTGCTCTCCTCAGCAGTGTATTTCATCAGTCTGCCTGTTCTGTTCCCCGCCCTGTCTCTGGTGAATCCTCTCACCCTCCCGCACATCTGGCCTGTACCCTGGTTCTTGTATAAATAAATCAATCAATCTTTTTTTTAAAAAAGAAAAAGGTCATTGTGATGTTGATAGGTATTCCACTGACTCTGTGAATTGCTTTAGATAATACGACCATTTTAATGATGTTTCTTCTTCTACTCTACAAGCATAGGATATAAAAGAACAATTTGAAAATTTAAAAATATGTAGACACATTTTGTCCCATGAGTTACATCTCTCAAAATTCATCCCAATGAAACAAGTAAGTAAATGTGTAAAAAAGCAAGTATAAGAATATTTGCTAGAGTGGTAAATTATCTAAGAAATAGTTGTCAAAGATGAGGATTTACTAAATGCATTGTGCTATCTATGTACAATGGACTCTTAAGCAGCAATTAAACTGACACAGGACTATAGTTGTTGGCATACAGATATGTCAGGTTATATTGCTAAGGAAAAATATGAGTACTGAGACAACATTTTATAGGGGGTCTACTACAGCATGAAAAGTATGAAAAACGAAGCACAATTGATCCAAGTCTCAACTTTAAACTTGAGATGTTATTTCCAGGAGCAGTCTACCCACATCTTTGTGTTATTTGTTAAGCATTACATTGTGTTAACATGCCTATATGGAATTTGCTTTGGGACATCCTTTTCCCCCTAACACTATCTTGATATTTCCTCATGTAAGAAACAAAACAGAGCCTCCCTGGGGACATGAGGGGTTAAGAAGCAACCTATGAAGCTCTCCACAGCCACTGCAGCACAAGTTCGATCCCCAGCCAGGGAGCTACCCACATGGTGCAGCAGACTTCTCCTGTCTCACCTGCTGCTACCCTCAGCAGTGTATTTCAGTAGATCTACCTGTTTTGTTCCCCACTTTGTCTCTGGTGAATCTTCTCACCCCCCACATCTGTGGCCTGTGCCCCAGTTTTTGTATGCACAAATAAATAAATCTTTAAAAACAAATAAAAAACAAAACAAAACATCATCCCAGGTCTTCAGAAGTAGTGGAGTAGCCCAGACTTGATAGACCTGAGATTGTCAACCCCTTTGCATATGTATCTGCATGCTTATGGTCAGTAAAAAATGGGAACAGTATATCAGAAGGATATAATATGATTGCTGATGTTTATTTTTCATATCTCTTTGGCTATTTCTACTTCCTGATTTTTTTCTACAGAAAACATACTATTTACATGAAAGGAAAATTTATAAATATTGTTGATTTTTAAAATCTGAACCTGTGATGATATCCTAAATAGAAGTAATTTTAGAGGTGTATCTTCAGATTTTTCTGTAGACTACCAGTTGGCAGGAACCACAAACTGAAGATATAAAATCATTGTTTCTGCTGATGACAAATGGCTTCTCTAACCCTGAGAACTGGCCTCACATGTACAAGGCAGCAACTCAGATGGCCTGACTGGAGTGACTATGGGAAAGATTATCTCCCCAGTTTTCCTACTTGAAATTAATAAAGGTGTAGACAGTGGGAATTACACAATAAAATAAGCATAACAAGTAGGAGATATTTTACCTCTCAAAAGTTCTTATCAATCACTCCTTGGATATTTAGAATACCTTTGAAAATGTTAATATAACCTGGAAAATTTGTATATTCTAAATTAGAGTACCTATGTTTTATAGTATATAACACCATATGATAAACAAGATACAACATCCTGGATCTTCACTCTCAAGTGAAGATTTGACAAATAGGTCAATTCATATGAAAACCAAGAACATTTTCACAATAAATTTGAATGCTTTTTTCCTAAACTTCAAGTTTTCAAATAAA